GCTACACTGTCAGCTTGGTACACTGCAGTCTGCGATGGCTATCAGCTACACTGTCAGCTTGGTACACTGCAGTCTGCGATGGCTATCAGCTACACTGTCAGCTTGGTACACTGCAGTCTGCATTGGCTATCAGCAACGCTGTCAGCTTGGTACACTGCAGTCTGCATTGGCTATCAGCTACACTGTCAGCTTGGTACACTGCAGAACTCCACTGTGACAGTGGGACCCAGATTACATCTGTTTTCCCTTTCTCCACCATTGCCTGCACCTCATTTTCCTCTCTTCAAAAAAATGTACATTTATTGAGTACAGTGTGTATGTATGTGTGCATGTATGTTTGTATGTATGTGGGCATCACAGTGCATGTATAAAGTAAATCCACTTTCACCATGTGGATTCTGGGGTCTTAATTTAGGTGGCCAGGAATGGCAGCAAGTGGTTCTGTCCTCTGAGCCATCTTGCTGGTCTTCCAACCATCTTTATCACCTCTTGGAGGCTTCCTTTGTCCATCTTCACTGCCTGTTCTCTGATCTACACTTCATGTGACTTAGTCATGACTAAGAAAAGGGAGGCATCCCTTGTCAGGGAATATTTTCCACCAGGTCTGTGCCTTGGCACCTCCACACAGTTCTGGAGCTGAGCAGGGGTCCTGTCTGCTGGGACTCAGGCAGCTGGCCTGACTTCGCCTATGAACTGTGCCTTTTGCCAAGAAAAACATGGCTTAAAATTTTAAAACCAGTCCTGACTTGAAAATCAGTTTGCTCTAACAGCCATGCTGGTGCCCTTGCCTCTGCTCCTTCCTGGAAATGTTTGTGCAACCTCCCAGCTTCCTCTTAACGCCACATTTTCAAGCTCCTCCGAAGTTTCCTTTTTCAATAAGCAAGACTGCTAATGGCTGTGACTCGCACTGACATGTTATAAATCAGTGTGGCTTGTTTCTATCAAGACTGCAGTGGCATGCTTGCCTGGCAGGCTACTGTGGAGCTGAGCAGGCTGCTTCTCCATCTACTCCATAAGAACCATCAGGGCTTGGTTTTCGCACCTTCTTTTCCTTCCATCACTAATCCTAGCAGGGCAACCTCTCAGAAAGGTGGATGCTGGCAGCCAGGTAGTTCAGCCTGCATGACCAGTGAACAGTTCCCAAAGGCTGACCTCTCCATGGCTGAGGGTCAAATTCATGCCTGCTCAATGTGATATATTTCTGTACACAAGGGCTGCACACTCCTAATCCTACCTATGAAGAAGTAAAAGTAAAAAGAGCTGAACACTCTAGGCCAGAATATAAAACAGCTCATGTGTAGTCACTAAGGGCAATACCTAAGCAACAGAAGCATCTCCCTTGATGGGTGGAGGGACTGTAACTCAAAGGTAGCCTGTGACTTGCCCCAGGGACTTTGAGGCTTGTGACAGTGAGAGTAAAACCAAAGTCTTGTCTCCTAGCTCAACCTCTCATAGCCAGGAACTCAAGAAAGGCTCACACAAGTCACACGTGGCTTTAAGAAACCACTGGAAGGCTGGGGAGACAGCTAAACTGATAAAACGCTTGCCTCACAAGCATGTGGACCTTACTTAAGTCCACAGAATCCATGTAAAAAGTTGGCATGGTGGTAGATGCTTGTAAACCCAGTGGTCTCAAGATAGGCAAACACAGGCAGATCCCTAGAGCTCACACACCAGCCTGCTTGGCCTACTTGGTGAGTTCCAGGTCAATAAGAGACCATGTCTCAAACAAATAGTAGAAAAGCACTTGAAAAATGACACCTGAGGTTGTTCTCAGTCCTACATACCCATATCCACAAGCACACAACACATGTGAGCATCTACATACACATATGCACACACAAGAGTTTATGGAAAGCAACTCTCTTATTTCCACACATGATGTTTACAGTGACATCATTCACAAAAGGCAGAGTTAGGAGCAACCAAAATGTCTGTTGAGAGATGATGACCAGGTAAAGAAAGTAACTCACAATAGAGTATCATTCAGCTTTGAAAACGAGAAAATGTGATGCATATTTCAACGTGGATATTAGGCCAAGTGAAATCAGAAGCCACTTAACGTTCTCTGCCATAAAACTCATGAAGGCAGAAAGGAGAATGATAGTTTCCGTGGCCTAGAGGAGCCCAGAAGGGAGAGTTATTGTTGAATGGCTACAGAATTTTAGTTTGGAAAAAAGAAAAATTATTGAGAAAGACAGTAGGGATGGTCACACAATAGTATAAATCTATTTAATGCTACTGGCCTAGTCATTCATGGTGGTTTTAACAACAATGGCTCCATAGGCTCATATATTTGAATACTTGATTACCAGAGAGTAGCACTATTTGAAAGGATTAGAAGGATTAGGAGTTGTGATCTTGTTAAAGGAAGTGTGTCACTGGGGGTATGAGAGTTCAAAAGTCCATGTCAAGTCCCGAATCTCTCTCTCAGCCTGCATACCAGGTTGTAGCTCTCAGCCACTGCTACCATGCCATGGGTGCTGCCATGTTCCCCGCCATGATGGTAATGGACTAACTTCCTGACACTGTAAGAAAGTCCCACTTAAATGCTTTTTTTTTAATATATGAGCTGCCTTGGCCCTAGAGTCTCTTCACAGCAACAACAGTAACTAGGACATCACTCGAGAATGGTTAAGTTACAGAACGCATGGTTCAGCAGTCAAAGCGTTTACTGTGCAAGTGTGAGGACCTGAGCTCAGATCCCCAGAACCCACGTAATTGTCAGGTGAACATATCATCCTGCCTGTACTTCCATACAAACGGTGACACAGGATCCCCAGAACAAGCTGGCTGGCACAATCAGCCTTGAGGTTGACTGAGAGACCTTGCCTCCGTGAATGAGTGGAAAATGGAATAGAGGATGATTTCCCAATGTTGCCCTTGGCCCTCTACATGTTCAGGCACGCATATACATGAACAATGGAAAGAAAAAGAAAGGCTAAGACAATAAATCTATGTTTATCAGAGAGAACAGAGAATTTAGTTCCCAACTCCCCAGTGCCAACCAACCACAGAGCAGTCATGCTAACAGACAGCAAGCACACATTTTCTTGCCCCTCTCCTACTGTTTGCCAAGTACCAGTTGTGGGAAGGCAT